ATGGCTTTCGCTGATATGCCAGGCAGCCCAGCCTACTAGAAGTCTCGGCAAGATCTATGGCTCCCTCATGGTCGGAAATGCCACACTGAGGAGGGTTACGGCTCTCTGAGGACCAAGATAAAATGTGCTCCTTCTTCACAACCCTTGATATTACCCAGGCGTCTACGATTTCAGGATTTAATACGATGATTTTTTTTCATGTAAAGAAGGAAGATTCTCCTTTCAGTGGTCTCCTCCTTCCAAACAGGGGGGACGGTGATATCTGTTTAAAACTGATGGGGGGGTGCCTGGGTGGCTGAGTGGGTTGGGCCTCTGCCTTCGGCTCAGGTCATGATCCCGGGGTCCTGGGATTGAGCCCCACATCGGGCTCCCACATTGGAGCCTGCTGCCCCCTCTCCTGCCAACCGCCTGACTCTCTGCCTACTTGTGATCTTGGTCTGTCAAATAAATAAATAATAAAAATCTTAAAAAAAAGAAAAAAAGAAAACCAATGGGCTCTGGTTTGAGAGAAAGATGTAACTTCCGTGTTTCTTTCTTGGAATCAGCAGTTTAGAGAAATCCGGTCCAAAAGAAATACAATGTGGGCCACAGGGGCAATATATACATTTCTCCCAGCCACACTGAAAAGAGAAGAAGAATCAGATTAAGTTAATTTTACGAATGCATTTTATTGGATCTACTGTTTCTAAACTCATTTTTCAATAGGTAGAGGATATGACAATTATTAATGAGAAATTCTGTCTTTTGGGGGGCACGGTCTTTGAAATTCGGTATATGCCGCGCTTCGAGTGGGATCTTAAATTTTTCTTACATGTGTCGACTTTCTGAGACTCACACTTGAAAAAGGAGTCTTGCCTGTCCAAGCTGTTCCAAAACTTTAATTTGTTCTATTAACCAAATTAAGGATCGATTTTTAACTTTAAATGTCAACTATAGAATAAAATAACATTTAAAAAAAATCAGTTCCTCGGTCACAACGGCCGCATTTTAAGGACTCCAGAGCCGCACGTGTCCAGGGACTATCTGCTGTCAGACAGGGCAGGGCTAGTCCCTTGGGTGGGGGCGACCGCCGGGCTGGGGCTCCAGAGGTCCTGCCCTCACCCCCATGGCTGGGAGCGTATGTCTGTCCTTCGTCAACGGACTTGCCTGCGAGCTGATGAGTCCTGCGTGGTGAGAAGGCCTTCCCTCTGTCCATACACATTTTTTTTTAAAGATTTTATTTATTTATTTGACAGAAATCACAAGTAGGCAGAGAGGCAGGCAGAGAGAGGAAGGGAAGCAGGCTCCCCGCCGAGCAGAGAGCCCGATGTGGGGCTCGATCCCAGGACCCTGAGATCATGACCTGAGCCGAAGGCAGAGGCTTTAACCCACTGAGCCACCCAGGCGCCCCTGTCCATACACATTATTTGTCCTCTGCGGCTCACAGAGCTGCTGTACGTGGTCCATCTGTCCCTCAGAATGAGCCGCATTCCCCAGAGGGACCTTGCAGAGGTCCAAACCGGGCGCCATGAGACTCAAACAGCTTGCATCCACCCACTACTCCACTTATCCATTCAACAAATATTTACGCAGCCAGTTTCTGTGCCTCGCCCGCTAAGCCCCAGGACTGCTTCAGCCATGAGAAAGGACAGCGGGGTCACTGCCCTCATGGAACTTCATGTCTCCAAGCAGTAGCCACTCGGTGGATTCTCACAAATCATGGGTTGATCACAGTACGGTATCTATGAAGAAAAGCAGGGGTCTCCACAAGATCCTTAGGGAACCTAATCCAGTCTGGGGGTTCAGCAAATCTCCCTTTAAAAAAAAAAAAAGGAGGGCGCCTGGGTGGCTCAGTGGGTTAAAACCTCTGCCTTCAGCTCAGGTCATGATCCCAGGATCCTGGGATCAAGCCCCGCATCGGGCTCTCTGCTCAGCGGGGAGCCTGCTTCCTCCTCTCTCTCTGCCTGCCTCTCTGCCTACTTGTGATCTGTCTGTCAAATAAATAAATAAATCTTAAAAAAAAAAAAAAAAGGATGTTTCCATTGGGACCGGAAGGGGTTACATGGTGCAGCTCTGGGAGACGGGGGCATGTTCTTGGCAGAGGAGACTGTGTGCTCCAGAAAGCGCCGGAAGGTCAGGGTGGCTGGGGTGTGGCGAGCCAGGAAGGACGGAGGGATGAGTGACGGCCAGATCTGAAGAGCCTGGCTTTGGGAAGGAGTTCCGTCTTTGTCCTGAGAGCAACTGGAAGGCCACCGAAAGGTTTCAAGAAGAATGATGGGAACAGGCTTGGATCTCTCTTTTGGCTTTGAGCAGATGCCATGCAATGCAGATCTTCCTTGGGATTATCCTGGTACATTCAGCCCCAGCCGGAAATGACTGTGGGGAAAAAATGAAATGGAACAAAATATGGCATCCTCCTCTCATTGTCCTGTTTGCCAGCTGTGGACTCCCCAGATCTCTGAGGAAGAAAAAGCTCCAGACAAACTGAGGACAGACATAGTCTGCAGGCTCCAAAGGGATGAACTAGTGTGACAGAATGAAACAAACAAACAAAAAAACCCAACACACAAAACCCTGGGTATCCCAGGTCAAATTTAAATTGACTCTGAAAGGGCTAAGACTCTATGATTATATGATCGTTATGGGCACTACTGCTAATCATGCAGAATGCCCGGGCTCTCCCATCCAGTAATCTCTAAGGTGGTTCTCTGAGGGTGGGAGGGTGTTTATCACATCCCGACAAAAGGAAATGAGCTTGATCCAACCATTAAGGATGGAGGTCAGGGGACTTGTTTAAACTTCATTCATTCCACAAAGCCTCGTTGAGCGCTAAAGGGGGAAGCATTCAGGTAGGCTGTGCCATGAGTCATCCTAGGTGTTGAGTGGAATTCGTTCCCTTAGCCCGTTACCTTTGGTGCCAATAATTAGGCTTCCTATTGCTCTTTAAGTGGCAAAAGCTCTTGTTTCCATTCACACGATCTGTAATAGTTATTAAGCATAAGACTAGCACAAGATGGGGTTTTGAAGAGATGTGAGACACAGTCTTTGCCCTCAAAAGACCCTCCTCACCCAGGAGTTCATGCAAAGGTTAGAAAAATAGTATTATCAGGCAGCAAGTGGTGAGGGCTCTGTGAATTCGCCATGCGAATGGTGGTCAGCGGACGGGGAGAACACTTCGTTCGAGAGGAGTAGAAGGTTTGGGGCTTAAACTAGAATGGGACTAGGAGGGAGGGCAGGCAGAGCAGAGAGCTCATGTCTGGCTCTGAGGGCGGAGGGGAGGTGTAAGAAATCTGAATTGCCAAGCAAGGATCCAAAAAGAATGAGATCGTGGGGAAGGGGGGGTTGTCCAGAGAGATTACTGGACAAACGAGCCATTGACTGAAGTGGGGATTTTTCTGGACGGGTGATTACTTTGGGGGAAATGTTGACTCTGGACTTGCTAGCATGAAGGATGAGATACCCAGCAAGGGGGCTGCCTCGTTCATGGGGCCAGTCCGAGCTGGAAAGGTGCACTCAGAAGTCACTTCCAAGGCTCCTTAAAATGATAAGACGGGATGAGTTCTCGAGAGCTGGAGCAGGCGCAAAGCCCCGTCAAGTGGAGTCAGGCTTACACCTGCCCACGAGGAGGTGGCAGGAGGAAGTGGACCGAGTGGAGGGTCTGGAGCACAGGCCCCCGGTGGTACAGTGGGGCTAGAAGGCTCTCTGCAGAAAAGGCAGAAGACAACGTCAAGAGAGTGGAGCATGTTCCCTTCTTGGCCACCACAGAGAAGCCAAGAAAAAGCCTTGAGAGACAGGACTGAACATGCCCCTTGGACGGAAGTCATCGGCCGCCTGGAGAAAGCAGCCGTGAGCCAGTCAGCTTGGCAGGTGTTCGCAATGGGCGATGATGACGTAAATGGAGGGAGGAAATTTTTGCTGTTGGTGTTTTTTTTTTTTTTTTTTTTTTAAGTAGGCTGTATGCCCAGGGCACAGCCCAATGCGAGGCTTGAACTCGTGACCTTGAGATCAAGGCTGAGCTGAGATCGAGAGTAGGACTCTTAACCAACGGAGCCACCCAGGTGCCCCTAGACCAGAGGTTTTTAAACAAGGTGGAAAGTACTAATCACCTGGAGGAAACCTAAGAAATAACGACTTCCTAGGCCCCGCATGAGACCTCCGAGTCAGATCTCTACAGGTGAGCTCAGGAAACAGACTGCTCATGGGCGGCTCCGCAGGAGCTGGTCCCCAGATCAGTGTCTGAGAACCCTGATAGGCGGTAAGAGGTGAGCGATAGCATGTCCTTGAGGGGAGAGGGGCTGAGGCCGTTCTCTTGGTGGTTTGTTTTTCCTTTAATTTCATTTTTAGAATAGAGGAGGCCTGAGCTCTTTTTCCAGGCCATGGAAGAAATAGTTTGATCGAAGACACAAGACAGAGTGGGACACAGGACATGGTCAGGCGTCCCCACAGAGAAGGAGCCAGGTGCAGGAAATGGGAGAGGTTCTCCAAGGCCGGCGTGGGGAGCAGCCTGGGGGGGAGCTGGGGGGGTGGGATGTGGGGCAGACATTCAGGAGAAATTAGAGTCAGTGAAGGGTAACCCCTGGATTCTTTTTTTTTTTTTTTTAAAGATTTTTTTAATATATTTATTTGACAGAGAGAAAGAGAGACATTGGGAGAGGGAACACAAGTAGGGGGAATGGGAGAGGGAGCCCGATGCAGGGCTCGATCCCAGGGCCCCGGGATCCTGACCTGAGCCAAAGGCAGATGCTGAACCAACTGAGCCACCCAGGTGCCCCCCCCCGCCCTGGATTCTTCAACGGATTCGAAATGCAGCTTGGCAGATTTTTGAAAAACAGAGTCAGTGCCCCTAAGCCTGCCTCTTGTTGACTCCTCAGGAGTGTTGAGCAAGTCATATGTCACTTTCGTCACGCCAGCTACACCCGGGAAACACAGGTTATGAAAGTCTAGAATTATGAAATGACACCCGTAGTGTGGTTACACAGGAGCTTTATCTTTCGAAAGTTTCTAATTCACAGCTTCCGAGGGGATGTGCTCTGCCTGACAGTTGATACCTGGGTTTTGGGAAGACCGGGGCTAAGATCAGAAATGCCCCCAAGATCCTGTTTTGGACCCGGGCAGCATCACCTGTGAGTCCTGATGTCAGGGCGGATGGGGAACCCTTGGGCGCTGTGCCTGCGGGCTGTGCTGAAAGTGGGTTCTCAGCTTTGTGGCAGGAAGTATTGGGTCACGGATCACATCTCACACCCTTTTCTCACTGGCGGGCCTGGCTCCGTGTGACATTGGGTCTGTCATCTTTTCCTTCTACCTCTCCTCCCTTCTACCCAGTGTCTGCCTCGTCCAGCTGTCACCGGTGTATTGTCTTTGCTTCCAGATAAGCATGTCTAGTGTGTTCTCACGATAGTCATGAACTTAGTGGTCCAGGGAATAAAACCACTATGATGTTTTGAGCTCTTCCTGTGTGCATTTTACCTAGCATGTCCCTTTGAAATGTGCGCTGGCCACATTTCTGCTTTACTATCCTATGACCATTAAGCAATCTTTTCTTACTGTAAAAGATAATACACATATTATTACTAATAATACTGCTCACTCTATGCTGGGAGCTGTTCTAAGTATTTTAGTGTCTTGAGGCACTTGAAACTCACAAGAACCCTATGAGGTAGTCACTTTTTTAAATTTATTTTTTTTATTTCTGAGATTTTTATTAATTTATTTGACAGAAAGATACAGAAAGAGCAAAATTGGGCAGCAGGGAGAGGGAGAGGGAGAAGCAGGCTCTCCACCGAGTAGGTAGCTCCACGTGGGACTCCATCCCGGAACCCTGGAAACATGACCTGAGCCAGAGGCAGCCGCTTCACCAACTGAACCACCCAGGCGCCCCTGATGTAGTCATTTTGATCCCCATTTTATAGAGGGGGGGCTCGAGGCTTAGAGCAATGAGATGTGTGGCTCTAAATTCATGCCATTACTGCGAGGTGGGGGAGGGATTCGAACTCACATCCGTCTGATACAAAGCCAGAGCTCTGTAGCTGTAAATGACGCCATACATGGAAATGTAGTTTCCCAGAAGGGGAAGCCATGCTTGGGCATTCCAGCTGCTTGTCCTTTTGCTCTCTGATGTCTCAGCACCATCTCGGACAGGCGTTCTCCAGATAATCTCAGCCGATACCTCCGCCGGAGGGGTCAGGCTGCTCCTCTTCATCCTCCACGTGCTGCTGGAATTTGGAACAACCAGTTGCATTCACCCCCTCAAAGCCTGCAGTTCCTTCCCTGAGCTTGTGTAACAGAAGAGTGAGGCTGAGGCCAGCCCTGATGCATAGATCTCAGAGAGTCGATGGACAGGGAGGCCACTCATTCATTCATTCATTCATTCAAGAAACAGTCCACGCCACCCTGATGTGCCGTGTTTGCGTTGTGGAGACAGAAGTGTGGGAATATGCAGTCCCTGGAGAAGACATTCACAGGCCACTGGGGTGATCTGCCTGTGATGGCTGGATGTTCAGAGGAGGGCCCTAACCCAGACAGCAAGGTGAGTGGGAGGTGTTACTTCCTGTGAACCCAACGTTACCCCATGCATGGTGTAGGGTGAAACCCACAGATGGCGGGCTTTCAGGATTTAGGGTAGAAAGCAGTACATTCCCATGGTGCAAGGCCCATACCTAGGGGATTATCTCTCTCACCCAGAGAGCAAAGTACGACAAGGGCAGTCTCCCCAACAGGCACATCTCAAGGTGGTGGCCACTGGGCAGCGTGCCAACACCAAAAAGCTTGGGACTGAGGCTCCAACTGGGGGGTCCTTTCTGTAATCAGCTGGCCGAGTGACTTTAGACAAGGTATCTAGTCCTCTGAACTTCACCTTCTTGAGGTAGAAAGCTGGAGATAAGACCTCTCTCTTTGGGTTGTTGGGAGCTTAAGGAGCCAATGAATGTCATGTTCAGCCTTACTTCTGGCACATTCGCAAGAGCTAGCACTGTTTTGCATAGGTGGTTCTCAGCCGGGGGTGATTTCTCCTTCAGGGGACATCTGGCATGCTCTGGAGACATTCTGACTGTCACTCTGGGGAGGAAGCAGTCCCAGCAAGTCAGGGGTAGAGGCCAGGGATGCCACTAAGTGTCCAAGGATGAGGCACAGGACAACCCCACAGCAGAGAGTGACCTGGGCTAAGTGTCCATAGTGACAGAGTCCAGAATGTTTATTCCGTGGATATGTTAATGCACACAGTCCCCAAAGGAGCCCCCTGCAGTAGTGCTGTTCCCATTCCCCTGTTTTAGATCAGGACATGCTGGAGAGACTTAAACACTCTGGAATTTAAGCGACTTCCTCAAGTATCACTAGCTGGGGAGAGCTGGGATTTGCACCCCGGGCTCCCGGGTCCAGAGTGCTCAGTGGAAGGGCTTACCCTAGGACACCTTCCATGGGGCGAGGTGAAAGGGCAGGGCAGGTCGGCTAGCCAGACGCTTCCTCTCCCCCGTGCCAGTGACTCCCGAGCTCCAGTGAGTGTCAGAATGACACGAAGAGCAAACCAACCTTGCAGATCCCAGGGCCCCACATCCAGGCCATGGTGCTGTGGCTGCGTTTGGGACACGAGGCTCTCCCCCAGCCCTCGGGGAAGCTTTCATGGAGAGCAGTGGCATGAAACCAGACTTACAGTCGTTTGGCTGTTTTCTGAATCTCAGCTTTTCAAGAGCTGCTATGTGAAGAGCTTACCATAATTTCACGACATTGTCTCAAGAAAAAAAATAAGTGCAAAAGGTTTGGGGTGTGGGGATGACTAGCGTCTTCTCCTAAAGGACACCCCGTCCGTATGAATCTGTTCCTAGCCTATCTCCAGGTGAGGGCAGGACCATGGCACTCGGCTGTCTCCCGTCGCCTTGAATGCTCGACACTGAACTTGTTCCTTCCCCTTCCCACCCTCAGCCATTGCTTCTTATGACATTGCCCTCCTTGCTGTCTCGGCATCACCCAGGCCCCAAACATCAAGCACCTGGAATTCGCCTTCCTTCCACGAATGTGGCCAAAATTCTTCTGTCGTTACGTCTCTCCTGTTGCTCTCCTCCTCCTCTGGCCATCTCAGCTATCATACAGGTCAAGTCTTTACCCCCACCCTGGGGAGGGGGGAGCAGACTCTGCAGATACCTTCTATGTGTTCTGCCAACCTCAAATCCTTGTCCTCTGATGCGCCTAGCCAGAGAAATCTTCTGAAGATGCCGCTTTATGTCCTTTGCGGATCTACGGATTCATTCACTGGTACTTACTGGGCGCTCCACTGTGCCACATGCAGGGCTGTATAGACAAACATGAACGTGACCCCAGGAGGTCCCGTCCTTTCTCCGTGGTGCCCAGCTCAACCTCCACCCCTAACTCATCCCTGCATTGCCCTACACAGCCTCTCCGCTCTGTCCCCACACGCTCAGTTCCCACTCTGTGGCTTTGTCACGTTCCTCAAGACCCGAGGCATCTCCTCTCTCATCCACTTACCTAATTCCTATTCATCCCTCAGAGCCCTGGTCCCATCTTCTTTCCACAGTGAATGCCTCCTTAACCTTCCACTCCAGGACCATCTCTCTCTTCCCATCGTCTTTACCATATCCAAAGTCACCGTTATTTTTGGAACCGCTACTTAACATACACATATGGATTCATTTTTATGCATGTCTGGTAGGGGATAAAAGGTTGCAATCTGGAACAGTTTATTGTAAAGGATTTAGTCACTCTGGGCGGCATGGTGGGTACAGACACAAAATAGGCGTCAGTCTGCCAATTGTAGTTTTAAATTCCTGTGGATGGACCTTTTCAAGCCCAGATCTGCAGGCTGCGTGCCTGGCTTACCCACTTGGACCGAGCGTGGCTGCTCAGAATGGCCCAAACCCACAGAGGCCCCGGTTAGTATCTGCCTCTGGCAATAATTCCAAGAATTTCTGGATTTGTCCTCCCGTGATTCTTCCCAGAGTTCTCTGACGGCTCAAGGGAACGAGGAATACTTCAGAGACGGCTCGTGTTCATCGACTGCCTTACTAGGGGCTGAGCATTGCGTGATGTGCTTTACAGGCACTGTCTTGTCCGACGCTCAGAGTCCCCACAGAAGTCTGGGACCATCACCTCCATCTTCCACGTGAACAAACCGAGGCTAAGGGAGGTTCAGGGGTTTGGACGGCCTGATCGCAGCTGCCATCAGGGAAATCCAGGCCTGTTTTTATTCTTAACTGGTGACGCTTCTAGGCAATCCGGGGTTGGGTCTAAAAACTATGAAGACCCCCAAGTCTTTCCAGTTTCTACACGGATCCTGGAACTTAGAGCCTTTGTGATCTGCGGTACTCTGTATCAAAATGAGGATTATTTTAGCAATGACACGGTTCCAGGTGAAAAGACATTGTGTCCTATTCAGTCAGAGAAGATTTAAAATAATTGCTGCTTGGTCGTAAGCCCGGCTCTGGATGACTGAGAGGGTAGCGGGTAAAAGGGCACGTGCACTAGTTACCATGTTTTCTAGGAAAACCGAGGGATGAACTGCTCCCTGGGACATTTCACTCGGGAAATGAATACGCCTGTCGGTTCTGTCTCAAGGCCGCTAATGAAATCCTTTCTTCTGGGCACGTGCTCCTTGTCCTGGGTAGTTTTCCCTCCTGCAGGTGGTCTGGAACGCCTGATGCTGCTGCTTGGGCTTCCCCACTGGCAGGGAAGGAGGGGAAGTAACATCTCCTAGCCTGCTGGAGAACAGAGCTATGTAGCTTAGAAACGTGGAATTCGTACCCATGACCACACGTGCCAATGTTCATGGTTCTTAAGCGTCTATTTGAAGAGGCAAACTTGATGGGGGAGTGGTTGCATCCTTCGAAAAATTAGCTCTTGTTGTGTTTTATAAAAATCCCGATTCAGAGAGGCGTGTAGTGGAGACGAAGTGAGCTAACATTTTGGTCCGGAAGGAAAGGCAGACAAGATAGATGCTCTCAGTAATTCTGAATATCACTGAGTCTTCTCTTTGGAGTCAGTTGTACTTTTTGTGTCAGTTCTTATTAAAGTAAAGTAAAAGTATAAAATATCAGACACCTTGATAATAACACTTCATTAAAGACAGACAGGTCCCTGAGCGAATCTTGAGCACTAAGAATAATAATAAAAAATGTTT